GCGGGGACTGGCTTCTCCGGAGGAGGGCGGGGCCTACCCCAACCAATGGGTCAGAGGCTCGTTACGGCGGCGGAAGCAGCGGCGCTGGGCTGAGGGGTGGGGGGCTAGCGCCTCGGCGGCGGCGGCGGCGGCGGCGGCGGCGGCGGCGGCGGCCGTGAGTGTCGGGCGGGCGTCCGCGTCCGGGACGCGGGATGGAGCGCCGCGGTGAGTGGAGGGTGGCGGCGCTCGCTGCGGCCGCGGCTGGGGGCTGGGGTCACCCGCGGCGGCCACCCACGAGTTGCCGTCCAGGGTCCGGGCGGCCCAGGCGGCGGCAAGGGAGTGGAGGCAATTTAGGGCTGCGCTGGTGGCTGTCGGCGGCGGGTCGGGCCGGTGTCCCCGGGACTCCTGGTCCTCCGGGAGGGGTCCGACCGGACGAGGGGCGCGGAGGGCGCGGCAGGAGTGGAGGAGCGGGGAGGGCAAGAGCGGGCGTTGCAAGGACCGTCGGACCCCGCTGTCCCCAGTTAGGCGACGCCGCCCGGCCGCTGGGGAGAGGCTCTCGGGGCGGACTTTACTCCCTTTCCAAGTCCCCCCTGAGCGTCTGTAGCCCCTCTCCCTTTTCTAACCACATGCCCTCATCTGCCTTTAAGCGGAGTTCAGGCGGGGGCTCCTTTACTCCTCCCCGCCCCCCTTTTGATTTCCTTAACCGGGTCTTAACATTTGTCTTCTTTACTTGGGATCTTTTGGGAAGTTTGGTGCCCTTTTCTGAAATTTTAGTCTGACAAATGCAAAGGCTGAGATAAAATAATAAACATCTCGTGTTCCCTGTCTACCTTTTATCATACTTCGTCTCACCTAGGCCCGGCTGTTTATTTATTTATTTATTTTTGTTGGGGGGGCGGTGGTCGGGAATGAAAAGTAGAAAAACACTCCCTTTTCTACCCAAGTGCCCTACTCTGGTGCATCTCTGTCTGTCTTCACACTCCTCCCTCCCTCTCCCACCACCCCGACCCTCTCTCTCACACCCCTGTAGCCATCCTACACACACACACACACACACACACACACACACACACACGCACACACGCACGCACGCGCGCGCTAACCCAGTCTGGTCCTAGGGCAAGCCCTGTGCTTTGCGAAATAGAAGTTGACAGGCGGGGGATTGCAGCTACTAAGAGGAGAGGAGAGCGTATCCCTGTGAGTTTGTTTCCCAGGCTGTCCCAGGACTCCTGTTCCAAACCTCAGCTCGAGGGACGGCCTTCCTTTGGCCAGAACAAAGTAGCCAGGGACTCTCCGTGTCTTTGAGCCCCTCTGACATTTCCAGGGTCTATCTCGCTTTTTCATCACCACTCCTCTTTAGAAACGAGGGGGAGGTTTGTTTACCAACTACCCCCACTGGTGGTATTTTGGTTTTTTGTTTTGTTTGATCTTCGACATCCTCTATCTATCTCTAACGGTGGATCTTTTAGGAGCTGTTAGGAGGGGAAAGTTCCAAGACGACGGTGGAGCCAAAATAACCAAAGAACTTTTTGTTGCACATTTACCTTTTCCTTTTCTCTTCTTTTTTGACAATTAGTTTTGCCCCTTTGTTCGGTTTGAGGGAGGGGAGTTTCCTGTTCAAGAAAAAGAATTCATAATTAAATATGAAAGTGAATATTTAGAATGAGTCAAGAAATTACAAATCAAATTATGAGTCTTGGAGATTTAAAGCCCTTTCTTCAGAGATTTCTATAGGCAGTTGCCAAGAATGCATAGTTAGAAATGCTTCCTGATTGTAGGAACTGTGCAAGTGAGGAACCTGGACACTAAAGCTTCATTAGTTTTATGGTACAAATAGCTTTAGTCTCCTGATTCTGAGAAAAGTTTTAGAGTGATTTTGAAGGGAAGTAAGATAGACCTGGGTTGAAAATGTTTCAGTCCCCAGATTGGCAGGAGATAAAACTTTGGCTGAGATGAAGAAAGCACTGTTCAGCAAATCTATGGTGGCTGGTCATTCCTGC